ATCCGGTAATTTTTCAAAATAAAACATCTTTCGTGTTCCGAAATAAATAAAACAGAAATAAGGCAAGTTCTTTCTGTGCGGCCCGGTACCAAATGCCCTGCGGACCAGTACCGGTCCGCGGACCGGCGGTTGGGGACCCCTGCCCTACATCTTAAGAGTTGAAATCCTAAGTGTGCAGAATCTTCGGGTGAAGACCATGTAAACCAAGTCTGGTTGTGGGAGGCGCCAGCAGCCTGAGCAAACTGTAAAGCGAATGGGCGTATTCTTTAGTTTTGTTTTACTGGGATTTGGGTTGGTGCGTTTTCCAGATTTTCAGGTTTATACTTTTGCTGTAGTGCTTCTTTGTTTTGATGCAACTTCTCTGCTCTTTATTTTCTATTTGCCAAAATGTTTACTTCCAGATGGCTCAACCTAATAAATCATCCTCTGTAGGCTATTTACCTGCCTCAACTGTTTATGGTTAAATATCCTAATTAAGCATCGTAAGGTTCTGCATTACTTTTGCCAGGGATGGGCAATTTAAATGCTGGAGAGGGGCCACGAGCACCACACACTTCATAACCAGATGCATGACAAAAGTGCCAATTGTCCATCCCTGACTTATGCCATCTCGATCCACATTTAATTTATTGGCAAGAAACTCATTTGAGACAAATAAAAAGATGGACTGGTGAACTATTTCTTTAATCCTTTCTTAATCAGTCAAGAGGTGTGGCATTTTCTTTTTCATAAAGATATTCCCATTGTTCATGTTAAGACAGTTAGAGACCCTGCTGGGAGGTTCATAAAAGTTTTAGGGCACAGTTATTATGTTAGGGTGGCCCTTGCAAATGTTTATGCTCTTAAGGAGGATGATTAATCCTTTTTGGGGTTTTTGAGTTTTTGCACAGAATCCGGGCTTGTCTGAGTATACCTTAACCTTGGGAGTCACGTGTTGGATGGAAAATACTCAGCTGTAAGATTAACAGCTGTATCTACTCTTTTGTCACATATGCGGGCCTGCTGTTTAATGTGAGTTATTAATGTGCACACAACATTGTGATACTGGTAGACAAACTGGCAGCATGACTTTTTTTATCTAATATAAAACACCACCATCTCTTTGTTCTTTTCTTCGTCCTCTTGGATTTTTCTTTCTTCTTTTTGCGTGCCCTGAAATTAGTTTGCCTCATTTTGATGTGCTGAAGGGGCTGCAATTACAATGACTTTGTCATTGATATAGACCAGTCTGTCAAAGGTGGGCCCCACCTGCCAATGCCACTCTACACACAACCAAGAGAAAGGGAAGTGCCTGTCCATCGCAAGCTAATTACTGAATGGAGGGAAAGACTGAAGGTGGTAGGTGGGACATATTAACAACTGTGCAGCAATTTTATTTAATTTTTTTTAACCGCAATCCGGCCATACTGGGCTGTCTGATGGCCAGTACACTGCTGAGACAGGGGCAGAGCTGATTTTTACTGAGGCACGTGCCCCAGTAAAAGGAGTCTTGACACCTATGCATGCAACCTCTCTTGGTAGATCTTCCTCAACTCCAAACTAAATCTGTCAAAACTCTTCAAGCTTTTACGGGGCGTTTTAATATTATTAATCCTTGATGTCTCTTTCATCGAGGTAAAAAAAAAAAAAAGACAAATTTTTCAAAATGTTCACCATACATACTGTACACTAGTATTGATTTCTTTTTAATCTACAGCAAGCTACTGATGTGAATATCAGACGGTAAATGTGACTATTGTTGTGTCGGATCATGCTTCTGTTTCCATGAATGTTTATTTCCACAACTGTCACAACACTAGACAACACTGGCCACTAGATTCACATTTCATATTTGATATCAAAGTTATCTGGTTAATTTCTACACTGATACAGTTTCTCAAGATTAATAAGACACCTACAATACAATTTTCAGCACCAGCTTTCAATACACATTAGGACACACACTCGCACACACACACACACACACACACACACACACACACACACACACACACACACACACACACACTTAGTAGCTTTGACAACACTGTTGACATTAAATAATAATGCTTTCACATATGAACATATTTTTTTTAGAATAGGCATCTCTTCCTGGGGAGAAGAACCTGACACTAATTTACTGTGGAGCCTATTATCTCACAAAGAGGGTTGGCGGGTGGGTTTGGGGTGGGGTAATGCCTGACTTCCTGATCCCACAGGAGATGGAGGGATGACCCAGCAATGCTGTTTCTACGTGACCATAATTTTTGTACTTTGTATCGGTTGTATTAAATACTCAAAGACAAGTTTAGTGTGGTGATAGTGTGGTGGTATACTTGCCTCATTTGTGTGCGGCCAGCGTGGAATCAGTTCTATTTCAATTTCAATGTGGCAGTACCCCAACATGCCAGTACCCCAATGTTGCCAGGGCCCTTTATAGCTGCACGCAGCTCTAGTTATTATTATTACTATCATTACTATTAATATGATATCGACAATGAACAAGACTAATTCATTCAATTACAATTACAGTGGTCTCTGCTTTGGCCCAACTAATAATTTCTTCAATTAAAATAGGGACACACACACACACACACACACACACACACACACACACGCACACACACACACACACACACACACACACACACACACACACCATCATGTTTACAAGTGCTACTATCTCACCTTATTGGATTTCATTTTATTCATTATTTTTAGGTTCGTAATTGCTTCTACCTCAGTTCGGGCTTGTTTTCACTCTCTCTTTTATTGTATCACCCCAAGGAGAAGTTATTCTCCTTGGGGTGATACAATTTGTGTGTGTACAATTTCACTGTGCACCACAATGACAGTAAAGCCAATTCTATTTTTTTCTGTTCCAATTGTATATCATAGTGGTTTTCAAAGTGGGCGGTACCGCCTCCCCGGGGGGCAATATGAACTTTCAATAGGGTGCTAGCCGCAAACAGTCGGATGGGGGCGTTGAAATTGTGAAGGGGCCATTGGAGCAATTAGAGTAAAATGTGACGTTGGTGTTGGTAGAAAGGCCGGGAAAATGGGACAATTTAATTAAGCGGTCCCCCAGTCGCTACAACTAGATGTACGTGCCTGTATACATCCAGTTTGTAAGCCTGATTTGAGTTCCTTTGTCTTGATTTCCATTTTGTAATTCTACCAATATCAATAATTGAATTATCAGATGAACAACAATAGCTTTTGAGTACCGGAAATAGTATTTTGCCAATCATGTAAACCATCATTTGGGAACACTCAATTTGTTTTGCATTTCTGGTCAACGATGACCTCCATGTGTATGATGGTTTTAAAGTCTCCAATCTCTAAATTAAGCTGTCCCAGGCATAATTTATCGAGCCTTTCACACTTCACCATAAAACTGTGTTTTTAAAACTATATACGATTGTTTCATACGTTTTGCCGAATCTCAATTGTAGTTTGTAATCGTTACTCCACTAAAAATCGTCCGCCTCTAAAAACAGTTTGCCTTTGTTCTCCATGGATAACCATGGCAACCCCAGGAGCATCGAAAAAGAAGTGTAGGCAATACTCTGTGGAGTACTTGAAGTATGGATTTATAAAATCACCGACCAATCCACAACAGCCCATGTGCTTCGTTTGTGAGAAAGCCTTTTCTCATAAAGCTCGAACATTTAAAGAAGATTCATCCGGATAAATCTGGCCAAACACTGCCGTTCTTTCAATCTCTTCGAGGTCAATTTTTGAAGGGGAAAAAAATGGATACAGTGAAACTTCTCTCCAACCGACCCTACATGGGTGAAAATACCCCCCAGTGTGAAAAAAATTCTCATGGATGAAAGCCATTCCCACTTTTCTGCTTCCCCTGCAACAAAAAGTCCCCCTGTTCCGTTATGCGAATTCTTTTTCTCTGCTCTTGCCTCGCAACGAGATTCACTACAACAAAAACAAGCCTTCCGCAAAAGTCTAATCCAACCTCAGCATACCACAGCGACCTCTGCTGCTTCGTTCGGAAACGGCAACAGCAGCCCCCCCACACTGGTTTACACATGCGCAGTAGTCCAGGAAGTATTTGTTATTGTTAGTTTCAGACGCGGCACGAACATTGCATTGCTAAAATAGTGACAAAACTGACCTTTGAATACCAAGGAGTTAAGAAAAGAAAAGCTTTAACGCTTGAAGAAAGGATAAAGGTAATAAAATTGAAAGATGGAGGAGGCAGAATAAAAGACATTATGCAAGAAATTGATGTAAGTGAAAGTAAATGCTGATCGTAAATTTCGCAATTTCTTTCCCTTATTTTCTTTCTACGCTGGCTATATGAAGTGTCAAATAAGTGTATGCTCATACTTATGCACTATTTTTAGACTTTTAATGGCGCCTTATAGGTGTGAAAATACGGTACGTTTTTTGTGTGTGTTCCTGTTTATGTCTGATATAAAATTTGCTACAGTGAAAAGTCTCCTGTTGTGAAAAACTTTTTGCTGCAAAAACGATTTCGTTGTAGAGGAGTTTCACTGTCTATTTCCTCATTGTGTGTGTGTGTATGTGTGTGTGTATGCACACACACACACACACAGCATATGGTAACAGAGACTACTTAAATTAGATAGATACATTTTGCTTAATATATTGCTAAATAATACACGGGTTAAAAACCACCCCTTGGGCAACTCATAGTAAAGTTCACAAAGCATAAAAAGTGAATGAATGAAATAAAGAAATGTTCATAGGATTTGTCCAAAAATAACTGTTATTAGTTCCCCACCTTTTTTTTCAGAGTCAGAATCAAGATTAGGAAATAGAATCGAATCAAAGGAACGGAATTGCCCAAATTCAAACGATGCCCAAACTTATTGACCATAGTAAGAAGCGGAAATTACGTCTATTCGCGTCACAACATTATGTGTACGTCGCTGTTTAAAACGGGATCTCAAAATGCAGTGCTAACTGTCCGCTTATGCATGTAAACAGGTTATTCCAAATGTTTCAGAAACTGGAATTTTGACTTAAACCCATATATGGGCTGCATGCAAATGTAGTTACCGTATTTTCCGCACTAAAAGGTGCACCTAAAAACCTTCCGTTTTCTTAAAAGCTCACAGCGCGCCTTAAAATCCGATGCATATTGTGTATGGTCATTACAGTAATATTTCGACCCCAAAATGGCTCCTTGTAAGAGACATGCTTACAACGCAGAGTTCAAACTTAAGGCGATCGGTAAACTTGCTGTAGGTTAAGTGAACCGTGTCGCTGCTTTATTAAATAAGTTTTACTGATATCTGATCGTTCTGTTGGCATTTCCTTCAGCGTAGCCCCATCTAGTGGATGCATTGTACATTGCGTATTATATTGCAATGCGCCTAATACAGTATAAGAAAAAAATTATAAAATAGGCCATTCATTGAAGGTGCGCCTCATAATCCAGTGCGACTTTTAGTGTGGAAAAAAACGGTACTCTGTCCTTTACTGGAGCATACCTATAATGGCGTGGTGTTCTTTGTAGGTTTCTCTGATAGCCTCGAGCTGTAGATATCTCTCCACCAGAACTTCTCTTCTCGACTCCAGGTCTGGCCTCATGGCCAGGTTTTGCTCGGCAAGGCTGCGATTGGATGCCAAAGCCATCTCTCTCTCCAGGTGGATGTTCTGGATCTTTGCAATGGGATTGCAGAAAACAGAATTTGAATTTATTTTGCTTCAATTAGATAAAAAGCAAAACTGTAGTACAAACCCAATTCCAATCAAATTGGGATGTTGTGTTAAACAAATAAAAACAATACAATGATTTGCAAATCACGATCAACTGATATTTAGTTGAATACACTAAAAAGATAAGATATGGATTGTTCAAATTAGTAAATGTTCTTGTTTTTAGTAAATAATCATTAACTTTGAATTTTATGGCTGCAACACTGCAAACAAAGCTGGTACAGGGGCAAGCTCCCTCACTGCCCATCTTTAAAATTCATCGTAAAACTCATTTTTGTTCTTTGGCTTTTGACACATGAGGCTTGATTTTTTTTGTTTTACTCTTTTTGTGCTTTCTACTGTCTCCATTCTTAATTTATTGTTTTGGTGTATGAATTATTTTTGTGTACATGTATTTTGTAGCACTTTGTATACAGCGGTGGTTGTTTTGAAGAGCTCTATAAATACAGTTGAGAGTAAAGTTGAGAATGTTTACCACTGTGCTCCCTCTTCTTTTAACAACATTCAATAAACATTTGTAAAGGACACTAATTGTTTAAACTTTATAGGTGGAATTATTTCCCATTCTTGCTTGATCTACACTTTCCGCTGTTCAACAGTACCCATTGTCGTATTTTACGCCTCAAAATGCACCACACATTTTCAACGAGAGACAGGTGTGGACTTCAGGCAGGCCATCTTAATTCCCACACTCTTTAATGACGAAGCCAAGCTGCTGTAACATGTTGAGGATGTGGTTTGGCATTGTCTTGCTGAAATAAGCAAGGGCATCCATGAAAAAGACAATGCTTGGATGGCAGCATATGTTTCTCCAAAATCTGTACGTATCTTTCAGCATAAATGATGCCTTTACAAATGTGTAAATTTCCCATGCCATTGGCACTAAGACAGCCCTATACCATCACATATACTGTTTTTTAAACTTTGCATCCAGAACCTTCCGCATGGTTCTTTTCCTCTTTTGTCCGGAGGACACGATAACAATTTCTAAAAACTATTTGAAATGTGGACTTGTCAGACCACTTTTCCACTTCATCAGCAGCTTTTCTCGGTGTTGTTGATGAATGGCTTTGCTTTGCATAGTTGCATTTAAAGTTGAGCTTTAGCATGTGGCGCCAAACTGTAATCGCTGATATTGGTTTTCTGAAGTTTGTTCATCTATGTGTGCCCTGCGATTGGCTGGCAACCGGTTCAGGGTGTACCCCGCCTACTGCCCGAAAACAGCTGGGATAGGCTCCAGCACACCCTGCGACTCTCAGAAAATGGTTGGCTGGATGGATGGATGGATTTCAGAAGTGACACATTGATGGTCTGAAGTGACACATTGATGTTGGTTTTTGATCCAGTGCCTCCTGAGGGATTGAATATCATGGGTATTCACTGTTGGTTTTCGGCCTTGACGCTTACATGCAGTGATTTCTCCAGATTTTATGAACCTTTAAATGACATTATGAAGTGCAGATGATGAAATCCCAAAATTCCTTACAATGGTATGTTGAGGACACATTGCCCTGAAATTGTTTGACTATTTTCTGACACAGTTATTTACAAAAGGATGAACCTCGCCCCATCTTTAGGTATAAATGAGCAACTGATACTGTATATCCAATCACGGCACCCACTTGTTCCCAATTAGCCTGTTGACCTGTGTGATGTTTCAAACAGGTGTTTGATGAGCATTCCTCAATTTTCTTTTTTGCCACCAGTCCTAGCATTTTTGGAATGTGTTGCAGCCATAAAATGACTGGGTTGTTTTCAGCTTTCAGGATTAGTGTACAGATCCTTGCAACATTATCAAGCTACAATATGGGGTGAATGGAACAAGAATGGGCCTCAAGATCTTGTCATGGCATCTGTGTGCATTCAAAATGGCGCAATAAAATGCACCTGTGTTTGTTGCCCATAACATGCGCCGGCCCATACCATAACCCCACCACCACCATGGGCGACTCAATCCACGAGGTGCTGACATCAGCAAATATCACACCCATACACGCTGCCATCTGCCCTGCACAGCAAAATCCAGGATTCATCTGTGAAGAGAACACCTCTCCAACGTGCTAGATGCCATCCAATGTGAGGATTTGCCCACTCAAGTCAGTTACAATGACCAATTTGAGTCAGATCGAGACCCTGATGGGACGACGAGCATGCAGATGAGCTTCTGTGAGGCAGTTTCTGACAGTTGGTACGAACATTTTTGGTAATGCAAAGCAAATTATGGTTGGTCTTCGACGATCTTAGAGGTGAACATGCTGGAGGTGGAAGTCCTGGATTGGTGTGATTACACGTGGTCTGGTGGTCTGTGGGTAGATTATACTGCCAAACTGTCTGAAATACCTTTGGAGACAGCTTATGTCTGACAAATGAACATTCAATTTATGGGCAATAGCTCTGGTAGACATTGCTGCAGTCAGCATGCGCCCGCAAAACTTGCGACATTGGTGGCATTGTACTGGGTGATCGATACAACTGCACATTTCAGAGTGGCCTTTTATTATGGCCAGCCTCAGCCACACCTGTGTGACATCCAAACTGTCTCATCATCATTTTGACTTGCCAAATCTGTGAGTATAGATAGATGAGCTTGACAGGAAGAAATTCTCACTTACACAGATTTAGACATATTTGTGAACAGTATTTGAGGAAAATGGTCTTTTATGTATGTAGAAACAGTTTTAGATCTTTCTTTGAGTGCACCTCATGAAAAAATGGAAACAAAAGCAAAAGCGTTTATATTTTTGTTCAATATAGCTCAAGTTACTAAAAGGTGCACCGATCTTCTAATTGTGGATTTTTCAGACATTGTCGCAATAAGCTTTTTCTTTTTATACGAGTGGAAATATACAAACATTCGGTGACAGTTGTAGGGTTCTAACATGATGCAATGTTAACCTATTCAGCTATTTCTCTATATCAGGCGTGCCCAACCTTTTTTGACGGAAGATCTACTTTCGCCCGTGATCGACCCGTTACCGCATACCTGCGCACACACTTGGTGCTCATCATGGCATGATGTGTACCATTCATGAACGAAACTGAAAAATAAAGTCGACACAAGAGTTTGAGAGTTTGTGAAAAGGAAATCAGTGCCTAGCTTCTTCGAGATCTGACGCGGAGGCATGTGACGCACTTTTGTAATGTTTAACTATCGTAGCTCACGTGTGCCGCTTTAAAATGTTTCTCTCGGCCCTCCAGATTCCCATTCTTGTTAAGTACTTTCTGTGAATTGTACATGAAACAAACTCTAAATGATAATAATCATAACAAGAAGAAGAAGAAGAAAAGATACAGCGCAACACCTGATCGCAAGCTGCAATTACGGACTGCTGATTGCAAACAACTTCCAGCGACGCAGGTCACGGGCCACCATAGATTAAAGGTGACCTGCTTTTTTTATTTTGTTTTTTAAATACTTTTTGTGAACGTGAGACTGACAGGATACCAAGGGTGCAGTGTGCACTAACACAACATTTATCACAGTTATTAACCATGTGCTGCAGTCGATGTACATAAGTTTATACAACGCAACATACAATTTTACAAAAATTGTAAAAGTATTATTCCTGAATATTTATTTCACTTTCAACCACTCGACATGTTCAGTGGCATCAGTGCTATACATACACATATAGTTCTTATATTTTTCTTTGTACTTTTGCCCTCTATGGACAATAAAAGCGGTATTGTGCTATGACCAAAACATAAATATAAATCTATATAAATAAAACATGAATTGGAATATTTCATATCACACAATTTTTATGCTGTGTCTTTGATTTAAAGATGACAATACGCAAAAATCTACAAAAATTGTAGAAATTGTAACATATGGGGTAACCCATGTGTTACAAACATCGTAGAAATTGTAGCACATGGGGTATAACACGCATACAGACACACAAATGTTATGGCTTGTTTTTTTTTTCCCTCTACACCCATCGCCATCGACTCGGGACAAGTCCGTGAGCTACCAGTCGATCGCAATCGACTTATTGGGCACCCCTGCTCTATATGAATGCCTATGAGGAAAAGTTGAATAACCATGAAATCCAAAATATAGTGCCAATTGTTTTGAATATTTCCATAGACTGATGTGGGCATGGGTAGAGAGAGGTATGCACATGAATTTTGGTGATGATCGGTTGGAGTTTTCTATCTTGAAGCAATCTTTAGTGCGTTGTCTATAGTGATTGCCTAAGACAGGGGTGGGCAAACTTTTTGGCTCAGGGGCCACATTGACTTAAAATTTAACAGATGAGCCAGGTCAGCACAAGATACAGTACATATAAAAAACTGCATTTGTTGACAGTCCATATCAAACATCAATAGAACAAAAGCATTAAAGTATTAACATACTTTTTTAATGAGAACAGTGTTGTTGATCACCCATCTTAGCCAAAGCATTGCTGCAGATGCGTTGTGATCTGACCAGTAGAAGTAGAGCGATACAGTATTTTCTCGTTAAGGAATCATATTTGCGGTGTCCAATCTTTCCTTATAACAGAATTTCCTTCTGTGGGAAACAACTACGTTACATGTCCTGTATGAACATCCAAATATGTAAACAACATACATGTGTGACAACACAAGCAACAAAGTGCAACAACAGTCAAACCTCAGTTTTCGAACGTCTCTGTTCTCGACCAAATCGGTTTTCGACCAAAAATTTTGAATTTTTTTATGCCTCGGATGACGACCGAATTTCGGTTCTCGAACAAACTGAGCGCACTTGAATGCGTCACTTGACTCCTCTTGTCTTCCTTACACGAGGAAGTGATGCTTCCTCGAGTAGATCGCGCCACCTTACCTCTCTGAACTCATCCGCCCCTACAGACCTGCCCGGCGCCTCAGGTCTGCGGACCAGACATTATTGGAAGTACCAAGAACTAGGCTGAGGCTCAGAGGGGATCGAGCCTTTTCTGTTGCTGGTCCCTCTCTGGAATGACCTCCCACTGAACATTCGGCAAGCCTCCTCGCTGCCGATCTTTAAAACCCGCCTCAAAACTTACTTGTATTCTTTGGCATTTGACTCAGCATGATTCAGATTTGTTCTTGGTTTTGCTGTTCGGTGCTTTCTACCGTCTTTGTTACCGATTTGTTGCTTTACTGTTTAGTTGTTCCATGTACAACACTTTGTATGCAGCCATGGCTGTTTGAAAGTGCTCCATAAATACAGTTGAGTTGAGTAGATGAGGAAGTTATGCTTCCTCGTGGAGCGTTCAATTGTGAACAGATGTGTTCAATAAAGATTTTTTTTTTTGTAAAGAGCGTGATTTCGGATTTCGAACAAATCGGTTTTCGAACAGCCTTCTGGAATGGATTATGGTCGAAAACCGAGGTATGACTGTATATATTGCCCAAATACTGTTTAGAACACAAAAACTGCAGTATACAGTACAGGTACATGAACAAAATATAGTCTAAAAAAATTAGAACTATTTGCTACAAAATGAGACTAATAACAGACCTGGTAGCTTTTCTTTCCACTCACTCATTGTCTCTAACTTGACCTCCCCTCGATCACCACCCAAGACAGCATTGCTCAGCTGATGTCGTGCAACCAACTTTTGAAGCCAGCCACGGAACGCTTCGAAGTCCTCAATGGCCATGGCGCTATGGGGCTCGCCTTCTCTCTTATCAGCGGTCAGGTTTGCGGAAAGTTTTTAAGCACGATAACAGTCAAACCATTCCAGGAAATGTTCATTTACTCGACTGTGCGCCAAGCCGCAAGCAATTCACTCTGAGCATGGAAATAGCCAGAATCGGACTGAGCAAGAATCGCTTCTTCCTTTTTCAAAGTCTCATAAATTTGAGTCTTTCAGACGCTAAGCGTCTCCTGAATGTTTCGTACTTTGTAACCCGCTTCACTTAATCGGATGCATTTCACTTTCTCTTCTGTGGTCATTACCGTTCCTCTTTGTTTGGATGCCATGATCTACACAGGACGTAAATGTAAATGAATTAAATTAAAAACGTTTGCAATTCCAGTAAAACTCACTGCAATAAAGAGTCACTTACATGTCGCCGTTTTGGATCCAATGATAGAAAATAGCGGCGCGGACACAATTATTCCGTCGTATCGAGCGGGAGTTGCTTGAGTTGGCGCTACTGCGGGTTTCCGGGTTCCGGAACTTCCATTGTTATGAATCGATCGTTAATGTAATATAGTAGTAGAAAGTTGAATGCATATTTTTTTTTTAACAGGGTTTAGGAATTTCCGTTTGACAGAGGTCCGAGGGTAGTAGATAAGATCTCTCCCTCTGTCTCTCCCCCTCTTTCGTCTTCTCCCCCTCCCTCCATGTGCTCTGCAACTTCAAGTCAATGCGCCGCCTGGCGTTGACATGCCTGTCATTACAAGTCCAAATGAAATGAATGCAATCATTCACATCAAACCTTAATTGTGTGCCAACCTTCGGCGGGCCGGATTAAAAAGACCAATGGGCCAGATCCAGCCTGCTGACCGTAGTTTGCCCACCCCTGGCCTAAGAGGAAAGGTTTTCACGCGAATACAATCCTAAATCTGGTGGCAATTGTGATATATTCATAGAATGATGTGAGCATGTGTAGAGATGTGTACATATATTTTGGGGACGAGTGGTTACCTTTTTCTGACTTAGAAACATTTAGCTTTTTCTCTATAGTGCGCGCCTATGGGGAAGAAAACGCTTAATGTCTATATAAATAAAATCAACAAGCATATTGTGTCAATCTTTTGGATTCTTCAGAGATTGATGTGGGGATGGGTAGAGAGGTACATGGGAATGTCGATAATGATTGGTTGTACTTTTCTGACATTAACCAACGTTAATCTTCTTTACATAAATCAACTAAATTACTCTATGCACACAAATGTTTCATTTTGTGTTGAATGTGTGACTTCTGAGATGCATCTCAGCTCTCACCTCATCAGACTCGTGGGCCATAGATGCCACCTTTTCTGGGTGATCCAGAAGTTCATGTAGCTCCGATTGGCTCAGGTCAAGAATCTTCTCCATTTGATTTGCCAGTATTGCTAGTCATTGTACAAGGACCAGAAAATAATTACCACACTGTTTGGAAGTGGCTGTTTCAATATTTTTATATTGCTGCTCAGTTTACTAGGCCTTGACATGCGGTAAAATAACAATAATAATTAAAACCAGGTCTCAATACGGCATATAGCCTATATATTTTTCACAGCTTTAGTCATAGGTAGTGAAGAACGGTAGATAAAGTTGATACAAGTACTTACACAGTGCTAGCAAACCAAATTCCTCCTTTTACTGACTGGGGTTGACATCCAAACAACACTGAAATTCACTAACAGGTAAGTTAACGTCAATGTCCACTGGGGCGCTGTTCTATTCGGACTTAAGTAAGTGCTCTCCACGTTCCTTATAAGACGCCTTTCTTATGAGTCAAGTGATGTCCAATCGTACCTATCGGCTTTACCAATAAAAATACAACAGTTGGAACAAAAGCAACGTCAGTGACTACGACCATCAACTGCGAAGGTAGCCCAGGGTTTGATAATCAAAACGAAACCCAAAATGACGCCGCTGGTTTCCGACAATCAATTTGATGCTTCCGAGTGTCCTTGTCCAGCTAAATTTGATCAGACGATGCCTGACTCCCGAAGATTCTCGCAATGTCATGCTATTTGATTAAAAAGTAAAGTTTCGCTTTACACCAACAGAAACGGCCGCCATATTAAGAAGAATCCATCTTACTATGTGGATCGGGTGTGAGCGAAAAAAATAACAAGCAGAAATTGGAAGCACCGCCAAGCAGCAAGCAATTCGTATTATCACGTCTTTGTAACCTTTCTACGTGACGCATTGGGAGGGGTTATTGTGACAGGTTTCTATTTGATTTGTATTCCTTCACTGAAAGGATAATGGTACAGTCTGTCGTGTGTGTGTGTGTGTGTGTGTGTGTGTGTGTGTGTGTGTGTGTGTGTGTGTGTGTGTGTGTGTGTGTGTGTGCGCGCGCGTCTCTCTCTCTCTCTCTCTCTCTCTCTCTCTCTCTCTCTCTCTCTCTCTCTCTCTAACTTTATTTAAAGGTAGTTTACCCTGACAACCAGGGGACAAAGACAGCACAACAAGAAATCAGTACTGCTGAAAAACAATAAACAACATTGGTACAATATAAACACAGTACATGACCTAAACACATCTAGTGGATTAAAAAAATGAAGTACAAATTATCGTTGCATGTTTGGATTCGTCTGTGTGTGTGTGTGTGTGTGTGTGTGTGTGTGTGTGTGTGTGTGTGTTGTTGTTTCATCAAATGCACTAACACAATTTAATTAAAGGCCAAGTGTTAAGTAAACTTGGTCAACCATCTTTTGAGTACTTAGAGCTAAAACTATTTCAAGTAAAATTTCGCTTTTTTTTTTCACGCAACACTCTAGTTTTTTAGATTATAGTTAGACCTATAACAATGCGCCTAACCACAAAAATATTTTTGTTTGGCAATCTCTGGCAAGTGATGTCATTCAAAGAATGCCAAGGCACCAGTCGGCCATTGTGCTGCATCGTTGATTGTCCCATTAACTGCGCTTTGCCATTGTTATCGAGTTATTCTGAGAAATGCCTTGGCACTGTGTGGCAGTGGACTGTTCACAATCAGGCTACCAGTTTGAGTGTCCAAAAGAAAAGAATTGGACATGAAAATGGACCAGTTTCGTTCTCACAAAGCGAATGAAATTCAGACTGGTGTCAACGAACGTTCTTTTTCACAAGCACTTTGAAGACCTCTGTTTGCTCAACCATTTTGATTATGATATACGTTTTGCAAAAAGTTACATATGATAATTATTCAATAACTCTCGCTGTTGTTTACAAAAAATTTCATTTAATTCAAAATATTATCCGTGAACACAGATGGAATCCTGTATGAAAACATTCATAATATATGAGTGCATAGATGGAATCATGGTTTGCAATTATGCTAAAGAAGGCTTGCCTATATATTTTGCAGAGTGAGCTACAATGCAACAGAATGACCTTACCAAGGACAATCTCGGACACCAACCCACTATGTGTTAGTGGAAATACATGGACTGAATAGTTAATCCCATTGTAGGCAATTTACAGCATGGCACGGCATCGAATTTCAAACAATAACGCGAGGCAAATAACCACAGCCGATATAGCTTACCATTCTTCAATCTCAAAGGGTACGTCCAGCCGTTCAGGCACAACATTTTCCGCAACTTTAGCGTCTGGCTCATACATGTCAGGTCTAACATACATCTTACCAACAACCTTCTCTTCCTCCAAATCATCCAACACCTGAATATCATCATATAAGTTTGCAACTTCGCTTTCCGAATCAATGTCTGACTGGCTTTGTACACTTTCCACATTAAGCCCTGCTATTGTTGTCCTTGAAGTGACATCACATTTCCAGGTTTGGAGCTTGCCAGGATCTCACTTTGGGAAAAACTATTACTTTTTTTACAGAATAGAAATAATTTGTCATGCTTTACTTAATGTATTTTGTTTAAATACTTTACTTGTGACATAAAAATATTTCATATGGGATTTTCTGAAATACCGGTAACTTCACACTCGACCTTTAACAGGAAAAAGATACCTCATTTGTCAAATTTTATCAAACTTGTCCAGATATAGCTATCGCCACGCCCCAAACCCCTTTTTTTTAACTGCTGTTACCTCAGTCAAAAAGAAAATCTTGTGATCAAGAAATATGGTCCATTAACTTCAAAAGGCAATGCAGTACTGTATCTCGGAGATTTTTGCTTCAAATGTTCAAATGCTACAAAGGTTGGCTCTCACTGATCTTGAAAAATTAGGTCAAGGTTACATGATGATCAAAATGCTGCATTTGTTCTGTGCTCATTGGGCATTGCACACTGGATTATGGACTGCACTGTATTGTGAGGCAGACGTGCTAAACATTCACTCACCGTGACCCCGACCCCCCCAACATCTCGCCCTCCCGCCTTCCAATTACTGTATTTGTATTTTAAAAATTCTTCTTGTTGTTGATACACATAAATCAAAGACAGTAATCTCCCACCCTAGAGTTGAAACATTATACCCTACACAATATAGTAAAAGACCCTCATTACAAATTACAGTAACTTTACCAGCTATGGTTGCAATTTTCGCATTCTTCCTTTTAAAATGTTGAGAGCATTACTAAATTATTTAATTCATCCATGTAAAAAAGTAACTTAAAAGGAACAATAAATAACTTATTACTCGAACAGAGATAATATAAAGAAATGCATTGCAAATGCAATTAATACAGTGTTTCTCAAATAGTGGGGGGGGGCGAGGCTCCGTCAATGGGGGTGCGTTTGACCTCGGGTAACATGCTTTTTTATTTTTTTACTGTCCTGGAATAAAGTGCAGTTGCACCTCCACTACGTTAGGGGGCAGTGGCGCTCTATTTGGCAGAGTTTGCGCAGGGAGCATTCGAAGGGAGGAAATATGACGAGGCGTATGTAGCGTTTGGCTTCAGTGTGACTACGGTGCAGACGAGGAAACATCGATGTGCCTACTGTGTCTAAAAATGTTGGTTGGGGACAGCATGAAGCCAAATAAATTAAGGTGTCACCTAAAGACATTACACCCCAATCACGCTGACAAGCTGCTCGAGGTTTTTTCAGCGAAAACGTGCCAAATATTGCCAACAATCATGCCGCTTTGTGACTGCTACTTCAGTAAACTAAAATACAGATCCCGGCTACACATTGAGCAGGAGTCGAGAGTTGCTGTGTTATGCTTCAAACCTCGCTTTGAATAGCTGTGCATTGCAAAACGTGCTCGTTGTAGCCATTAATCCAGACATCATCTTTGATTAAAAAAAAAAAAAAAGCACAAATCATTTATATATTTTTGTTTTGCTGGTTAAAGTTTTCTTTTTGATATTGTGATCCTGAAATAACGTTGGTGATGAGTTTGAATGCATTCTTCGTATCGTATGGTTTGACATGGTCAGTCAAAAAATATTTATAGTTAAATTAAGGATTTAATGTTATTTTTGAATTTCAGATGCACTTTAAATCTTTTCTGTTTCAGTTACTAAAGCTATTCTTTGTTATAAGTTGGTCCATATTTCTTTTTTATTCTCTTATACGTTAATAAGGATACAGTGTTATGCAAAGGTGTACTTTTACAATTTTATAGACAAATGATACTATTGTGCGGGGGAAGGGGGGGCACAAGATGTTTTCCTCTTCTAGGGCGGGCATCACAGAAAATAATTGAGAACCACTGAATTGATATATACTACTACTACTACTACTACTACTACTACTACTACTACTACTACTACTACTAATAATAATAATAATAATAATAATAATAATAATAATAATATACATTTTAAGGTGGCCCGGTAGTCCAGTGGTTAGCACGTAGACTTCACAGTGCACTGGTACTGGGTTCAATTCCAGCTCCGGCCTCCCTGTGTGGAGTTTGCATGTTCTCCCGGGCCTGCGTCGGTTTCCTCCGGTTTCCTCCCACATTCCAAAAACATGCTTGGCAGACCGATTGAACACTCTAAATTGTCCCTAGGTGTGAGTGTGGGCGTGGATGTTTGTTTGTCTCTGTGTGCCCTGCGATTGGCTGGCGACCAATTCAGGGTGTCCCCCGTCTACTGCCCGAAGACAGCTGGGATAGGCTCCAGCACCCCCCACGACCCTAATGGGGATAAATGGAAGAATAATGAATGAATATACATTTTATTTGTAAAAAGATAAAAGTTACATTTGGGAAGTAACGTACCCTACACCAGGCATGTCCAGCTGCGGGCCTGTTGGGCCACTGTCCTGCCTGTTTTCTAGCTCTCCTGGTTGCAACACACCTGATTCAGATGATCAGCTCATCAGCCGGCTCTTAAGTAGCATTAGAACGTTCCTGATGATTTGAATCAAGTGTGAACCTCCCAGGAGAGCTGGAAAACAGGCAGGGGGAGCAGAAAAACAGACAGGACAGCAGCCCTTGAGGATCGACTTTGGACACCCCTGCCCTACACTGACACACGCTTGAACACGCGTACACGCACGCGCGCGCACACACACACACACACACACACACACACACACGTACACGTACACGTACACGCACGCGCGCGCGCGCACACACACACACACACACACACACACACACACACATACACACACACACACACACACACACGCGACACCCAATAGTTGTATGGAAAAGATGGTCAGTGACTCCCGGTTAAACACTGCGTCTTGGTCTTCACGTCCTCAACGAGCAAAGGCTTCCTGTACCGTAGCTTTTTTGTTTTGTTTTTTTTTATCTTGATGCATCGTCTCCACTTTACCACATCCAATATGGCAGTAATGTTGACGTAAGAGTCAGCGCACAATGCGAATCCCTTGTTACTTAAGCGGCATTCGAAGAAGGTGAGGAATCGGAGAGATTCACTCGGATTGCCCCAGTTCAGACTTCAAACCGTTCAAGGCGAATGTAAACAACAAAGATAGCCGATTCCAATAAATTGTTCTGGCAAAGCACAAATGAAAACCTTTATAATTCATTTTATTCATATACATAAAAGGAATATCTTCTAACCATTTCATTCATTTCACCATATAACTTCATGCTCGGAGATATCGGCATAGTTTTGCGCAGTCAGTGCAAATCACGTTGTGTTACGTTATGTCAAACAAGTAAATTATTGTAATACAGATCTGTTAATAATCTTGTAAAATATGTCTTGCCATTCACGATCTGTCTCTCAATGGGGATCGCCTTTGTCGATGTTTTTCCGACTTTGCTACAGGTACTCGGACCTCTCAGTTCAAAGCCCTCTCGTGCACTTTCCCTGGTCGAAAGCCAGAAAGTCCGAATTCCCGCTTTCTGCGAATGCAGCAATGAATGCAAGGGTGACTACATCGTCAAAGAAGGAGACCAGGACAGGAAGTCTAGTCCGTTGCTTCCAGCACACCGATAAATATGCCCTTTGTCGATTTGCAGAGCAATTTACCAGAAAGCTCATTCTCCGAAGAGTTTCTGGAAAAGCTCTGCTCATTCGCTGCGGCTGTTTTGGGAAAGCCAGTTGACGTGAGTAATTTTACAACGTAGTACCACAGAAAAAAAAGATTACTCATTCCATTCGTGCACATTATCCTTGTTAAATTTAATAATTGCACCTTTTCAAAGTTTCTACTGTCAGCAATTTCATTTTTCTCAGTCAAAGAAAAACAATGTAGATTTACAGGATATCTGATAAAAGACGTGTTATGAGTTGTTACTCTTGTGAAAATTTCTGGACACATTTTCAAATGAAGCAATTGCTTCGCGGGTTGCCACGTCACGTCAACCGAACTGTATGTTAAATCTGTACTGGCAGACTGAATTACAAAATTGAGTTTAGTCTTGATGCGATCATTTAAAGGATGGTAGCTATTTGAAATAGCTACCATATTTCCAACTGCCTCAGGGCAGGATCTGGAAACCCTGCGCCATCCCAGCCCTACTTTTTTACGCAATCCATGGCGCGCGTGCGCATATCGGGCATTTTGGGGGGTGGGGGGGATTGTTAACAACAGCACCCACAACAGGTCAAAAGAAGTTGTTAATGCACAGAACTTGAAAAAAAATATATTGAACGTCGAAGAATTCAAACATTCATTCATTCATTTATGTACTTGTGGTGGCCCGGTGGATGACTGGTTAGTGCGTCAACCTCACAGTGCACAGGTCGTGGGTTCAATCTCGGCTCAGGGCTTCCTGTGTGAAGTTTGCATGTTCTCCCCGTTAATGCGTGGGTTTTCTCCGTGTACTCCTGTTTCTTCCCACATTCCAAAAACATGCTTGGCAACAACAATGAAGCAACACTGAAAACTCTAATTTGTGAGTGTGAGCGTGGATGGTTGTTCGTCTCTGTGCGCCCTGTGATTGGCTGGCAACCGGTTCGGGTCTCCCCCACCTACTGCCCAAAAGCAGCTGGGATAGGCTCCAGCATGCCCTGTGACCCTTGTGAAGATAAAGTGGGTGGATGTACTTATTGTTTCTATTTTATTCAGGTATGAGAAAAACACATCAATCATATAATCCTGAGAAGGAGGGCTGACAAGTTCTGCATTTGGCACACTGCATATGTTATTTACCCAGCTATCCATCCATTCATCCATCATCTTCTGATCAGCTTGTTCTCACAGGGGTTACGGGGTGTGCTGGAGCCTATCCCAACTCTCTTCGGGTAGTAGGCAGGGTACACTCTGAACTGGTTGCCAGCCAATCGCAGAGCATCACAGGGCACACATAGATGAACAACCATTCACATTCACAATCACACCTCGCGACAATGCAGATTGTTCCATTAACCTGCCATGCATGGTTTTAAAATGTGGAAAGAAACTGGAGCTCCGAGAGAAAACCCACACAGGCACGGGGAGAACATGCAAACTCCACACGGGAAGTCCGGAGCCAGGAATCGAATCCTGGACCTCTCTACTGTGAGGTGGACGTGCTAACCAGTCGAAAACCGTGTCGAACAACACATCAACAAAATAATATTCATCAAACCCAAAAAAGAAAATTCCAAGTTATCCATAAAGAATGTAACATGAAAATCTTAAAACCGTGGGACATTATAAATTTTCAACGAAAACGAGTTTTTCACATCAGTCCAGAAGTATTGAGGGATAGGGCAAAGAAAAAACAAACGATTCAAAGTTTTATCGTTATGGCAGAAGGACCAATTCTCTTTCTCATATTTAAATATTTTCTGTAGAAATACTGCGACACAATAGATCTTATGATTTTAAAATGTTTGTTTGATGGGCCATTTGATATATTTTGTAAATGTAGCGACTGAATTTGCAAAACTAGAACCCTGCGAAACTGTCCCTTTGTTACATGAAATATTCTGGAAGTAAAGACGTAAACCAATTAGGTTTTTATCGCATTTTTAATCAAGCAAAATACATTCTTCAATCAATAGTGTTGGCAATACATTTCAAAGTATTACTACACAACAAAAAAATTAAGTGGATCAAGTGGAAAGGGATTACGTTACAGATTTTGTCATACCGTTTTTGAGATGTCACTTGGCTGTCTATTAATCAGTTACACCCTTCTCAGACCAAATCTTTTGAAAGACTGATTTTCTATTTAACAATAGAAAAAAACAATAACATTGTTTTTGGACTTTTTCCCCAGTCAAAAAATAAACTCCAACAACGCTATTACTTTGTGATTGGATGGTCAAAGGCATGGAGATGGAACGCCCACCTCCAAGCGCAAAGTCTTTCCTCTCGCACGGCATGAGACAAGGGTAAAAATAAATTTGACTTCGGGCTCATATACACTATAGCAGCACAGAACACGGTAATGTTTTATTTAGCGGATCCTATCAGTGACCATTGTCCTTGATAGATAGCAAATTAGGACGTTACAGTCAGTCACTGAGTTTGCAGAAAATTAAAAATATCGACTGATTTCATTCCACTCAATCAGATCAGTGTAAAGTCTAGTTGTTCCTGTTTGTACTAATAGTAGTAGTAGTCGATGCCAGAGTACTAGGCCAGTATTTGCGTTATTATCAGGGTTGCACATAAATATTTTGATGTGACCCTCATATGAGCACCAGAGGTTGTTTTTTTGATTATTATTTCCCATCAACCTCATGGAGGAACTTACAGCTGACAAATCAGTGCAGGGAAGAGCGACCCAATTAGAAAAATAATTTCAGGTGTACCAACACATACAAACTTTAACCACCATTGTTTTAAAGGACTGAGTTGATTTCAGAGTTTGGGAGCGTCGGGGTCTGAGTGTTGTATGTTTTGTGTGTGTTGTGTGTGTAGTCAGTACCAGGTGCTGGCTGTGTCTTGTGTTTGTCACCCCCTATGCCTCGTGTGTGTTTTTATACCACTGTCTTTCATTTAGTGCAACAAATTAGTTCCTCGCCATTGCCATCAACCATAAATTTGTTTAGTCACTCAATTCATTTAAGTGTTTTAGGAACTTTGCCATAATTCACTTTGGTTCATTATTTTTCTAGTTCATTTGTCTGTTGCACTAAGGCAGTGGGATTCTGGAGTGTTTACTCCAACTTTGTCTTGTAGTGTTGTGTACCCCCACTTCCCCATTAAGCTTCCCCTCAATCCGAGTGTGAGTACTTCTTTGTGTTGAGAAAGTTTAAACCATGATTCCGCACCAATTTTCACTCCTCTCCAACTCCCACACTTACTGTATGTTAGACCATTCTTCTGTTGCTGTCATGTGGAAGGATCGTATCAATAACGTAAAGTTTTTTCCAATATACTTTTTCATAAAACTACTTACGTTTCACCGTAAGGATTCGCTGATGGACATTGCGAAAACAGATGAAGCATGGTTTCAGGAGAGTCAGACCAGGTACGATTTACATCCATTTCTTTCTCAAACTTCTTTTCAATATGCTTGAGTTGGGTAAATCCGACGAACAATTTTCACTAATACAATACTTCTTTTATCTTATTTATAATTAAGTACCTATTAGCTAAGAGCCAGAAATCCTTCCAAACTATTTCACCAGCAATGCCAGGCCAGAATGCAACCACATGTGGGATTGAGATAACGTTTTTCTGAAAAAAATACTCCCCGGCCCCAACCAAAAAAAAAAAGAAAACGATTTGGAAAAACCTTCTTTACCCACCAAAGGCCATGGTGGAGATATTAAGCCTGGGTTGGAATTTATACACATCATAATACTCCAGAAGGTATAGCATATGAAAAGAGAGTATCATACTTATGAAATAACTGATTCACAGATACTGTATATTATTATTAAACCACTTTTCCATGAAAAGAGTCTTATGCTGATAGAGAATGTATTTGTTATTGCATAAATAGTAACTTTGGGCCGAAAAATTGTGCTTGTGGATGAGAGACAAAGCTAAAAAAGATTGGCAATGAAAATGAGCTGTCTTTACAGGGACTGCTTTTCTTCCTCAGGTACTCAAAGCATTTCACACTGTTACCTCATTCACCTCCTGTTGACACAACATCAGGAGCAACTCGGGGCGTTCAGCATCTTGCTCAAGCATACCTGTCAACTTTTCGGAGCGCCAACCTGTATAAACTACCAAAAAAAATCCTTATAAAGAGCAAAAAATCCTTATAACATACCAAAGCATTTTATATGTCAAAATAACGGCAGAAAAAAACCCACGAAATATGAATGATATATTTGTTTCCTTGTAGAACTTGCTTGTACACTACCGAAGTATGCAATGAATACTCTGCTGTTTTCAACTAGGAACCACGTGATTTACTGGAAAGTTACCGGAAATGAAAGCATTCGAGTAGACTAGCACCATTCTGGGCAAAAGCAAACGGAACTACCTGTTAGGGGGGGAAAAAAAAAAACGGAAATTTTCAGAATCCGTATGATTTGTGCGATATGGCCATATGCGTAAGATTCACCACAAAATCCGTATGAACTATGGCTAAACCGTATGAGTTGACAGGTATGCTCAAGGTCACTTCTAATTACTTGACAGATAAAATGTCCACCCAAAACACACTCAGTACGATATCCCCATTAAACCTGTACTTCAAAATAGCTACCCAACTTCAATATACAGTGCTCATGCGCAATGGTGCACCACTTTTGTGCACCACTGGTTATAGTCTGTAATAATATGCTGCCACACGCCTCCATACCGGCGTTTTGTGGAGTTGAAACAGCGATGAGAATGCTAGTTTACAAAATTCAAAGGCTGTGTCACACAACAAGTTGTGACTCATTGAAGAGCTGTTGCTGGTGTGTTCGGATAAAACAAATTTGCCCAAGTACCCTACTTAATGTATTGCCTGGATACGGCATTGAGGCCAAGATGGCACTGACAGCTGATGAGCGAGGAAACATCGAAATGTTTTTGGGAGGCGATGTCTGCTGTCAACTGTAGCAGAAAGGCATCCTTGCACTGGTGGAGGAGGTGAAAGCATTGAGGATTCAAAATGCTGAGAAAGCCCGGCGTCTGGCGGATCTGGAGCTCATGGTGAAGTTGGAGCAATGCTCCAGGATCAATGAGTTGATTGGGCTCCGAATAAAACCCTGTTATCTGGTCGGGCGGAATGGAGGGGGAATCGGGTGAGCTTGATGGCAGCTCCAGGAAGCAGCAGGTGGCTGCATTTTTTTCCTAGGCAAAACATATTAAATTAGGTCTTAATAACATTGTAGCATGTCACCAACTGTTTCCCGAAAATTCATGAAAGTTTTACAGTATATGTGCGGATTTCAATATTGACTTACTGTACCCCAACAATAACCTATTGTGGACTTAATCAACTCAATACTCAACTCAACTGTATTTATAGAGCACTTTAAAACAACCACCGCTGTATAGAAAGTGCTGTTTTTTTAAATAAATTCAAGATATCAAATAAAAAACCCAGAAAAAAAGTAAATACAATTTCAAGAGATAAGTATACTTTTTTTTTAATGGTACGACGTACTATCACGACAGTCACACGTTGACTACTAAGCGAACAAAATTTCCCACAGCACTGATTGGACAAGCAATGTCATGTGATCATCTGTAACCATGATGACCAAACGGGTGTGTCCTAACTAATTAACATGTTGAGTCGCTTGTGTCTTACCCTCCATGGCAGGGGTGCCCATTACGTCGATCCTGATCGACCGGTAGATCTAAGACAGGTCCCAAGTAGATCCGAGGAGTGTAGAGGAGAAAAAACAAACAAACAACCATTTGTGTGTCTTTGTACATGTTTGAAATATATTTTTTGTGTTAATGTACGCTGCACCCTAATCATCCAATCAGTCTCATTTTCACAAAAATTTTAATCGTAAAGTGTCCTTGAGTGCTTTGAAAGGCGCTTATACATGAAATCAATTATTATTATAAAAAAAATCTTGAACCGACGGTGGCGCGTGATTACGTCACCGGAAGTTAGCGCTCAGCAGTCTGCATCATTATTCTCATTCAGAGTTTGCTTTGTGTACAATTCACCGAGGGCACGGGCAAAGAAGAGCAATCTAGGAGGGCCCAGGGAATCACTTTAAAACGGTACGTGTGAGCTACGATAGTTAACAGGCTGCAAAAGTGCATCGCATGCCTCCGTGTCAGGCTGTTTCTCATCATGGCGTGCGTGCGTGCGTGTGTGTGTGTGTGCGCGTGCGTGGCCGCACGTGCGCAGTAAGGGGCGATCCTGGGAGGTTGGTTGATCGAAAAGTAGATCTTCGGTCCAAAAAGTTTGGGCACCCCTGCTCCATGGCATAGGCTTCGTCGAACCCCTGAGACCAACTCAACGAACGCCAGGGGTTCGATCGAACCCCGGTTAAGAACCACTGAACTGGAACATCGCATCGTGCCACGCTAATTGATAACATCTTCACGAGTGTAATGGAAAATGAAACTAAAATTGGGATATGAATCAATGACTACTCTCCATGTGCGATGGTTAAGAGGGGGTGGGGGTGGGGGGTTAGACGGTTATTATGGCTGTATGTGTGCCTTGGGATATATACACGTACGTGGCGAGGACGGTAAAAAGACTGACAAGACAAGACAAGCATGACGAAAAATACACAAGCACCGTTTGGTCGAGACAGAGAGGAGCCGCAATGTGCCCACGTCCTGCCATTTTACTGGAAACAATACGCTGCTGTGGTTGCTTTCCCTTTGTAAAGTTTTTGATCAATGATGTGAATGACTCCACCTACTGCTCTCTTACAGAGAATGCACTTGATCGTGAAGCCTGGGTTACCAATGTTGATGGCAGGATCTTGCGCTCCCTGTGTAGTGCTGTCCGTATCTGCTATCGGGGTGACTGACACTGCTGACAAGAATAAGGAGCACAGTGCCAAGCTCTTTGAGTTTCTGACCAGAGAGCTTGCTCTTACTGAAGACAGGTGTGTAAAGATTTGCTATTTTTTACAGCAGGTTTTGTTTCATGGAGCAGTTTGTTTTAACGTTATTTTCACCCCCTTTTCTAGGCGGTTATAAGCTCCCATTGCATTGAACAATATCTTGCTGAATCTGTGATTACAAGAGCAATGTTTTGAACTGACTGCCCAGACGCAAGAGAATGTAATTGTGATGAACGCGAGTTCATTCTCGAAGATGAGGATCACAGAAACGTAATAGTTGTGATCGATAGACATGCTTTTTTGAAGGCCGTTGCCGATTGTTAGTAGTCGAGGAGGGCGACACTCATTTCGCAGAAAAACAGGAAAAGATTGCCGTAAAAATTTTGAAAAGTAAAAACTCCAGCACTTAACTGTATGCTTTTAAGTCAAGTCAAGTCAAGCCAAGCTTAATTGTCAAATATGCTCTATGTGCAACATACAGCACAGATGAAATTACCTTCCTCTCTCAACCACAGTTCAAACATGCAGTGCATTGAAATACACAGCTAAATATAAGGGCAGAAAATTGAACTGCATAAAAATACAACGGCATAAATATACAAACACAAACAAAGAAAACAATAAATAGCAAACAACAGTTTGATATTTATTCTCGCACAGAGACGGCAGGGTCCCGGTCCCTATTAACCGCGATAAGTGAGGGAACACTATAACTTTATAACCGAGGCTTTTCGCTCACTGGAAAATGAAATTTTGTTTATAAATTCACTGCCCGACCTACCCAATCAGAGATGCCGATATCTGTCTTGACCAATGCAAAAATGATCAGCAATTACATAGCACCAAAAAAAAAATAAAATAGTAAAACATGCATAATAGATTTGTTACCATACAACACTTATATTGTGTATATTGCAAGAAGTGGATGTGTATTTCACCTCCAACAATGCTGAGCCATATTTACAATTTCATATGTTCAAACATTGATGGGTGGTGCTCTCATAAATGTGCCATCATTATATTGGAAGTATTCCCTCCTTTGGCAGCAACTCTTCTGAAGCATGTTTTTCAAGAGGGAACTCTTTCCCCCAAGCCACGGTTGCCTCTGCTTGGTCACTTCGCTAGCTGAAACATCCCCTTAGAGCCGACTTTGTTTGGACGAGGAGAAATTAATCGGTTCATCGCCTTCAGCCATCCTCAGGCTCAATTGTTGCTTGTGCCCTACCACAAGCGAGTGTAGCTCGTATAAAACGCTTCCTGATATAAACTAGTAGATGTTAACATTTTAGCTGTGATAACCACTTATCTGCCACAATAGTAAACGTGCTCCTTATTTATGCAGTGTCATGAATCCCTCGAAACAGGAAACGGCCGTTTGATTGTTGCAATGACGGGATAACTCATGTGGGATTCACAATGACATGAGGCTGGACACTACCCGTGCCATGTTCGTCTAATGACCCGTCAGTGGGGAGAAAGAAATCACCGGTTTTGACAAGTTTGGGCAGGTTAAGTTCAGAGAAAGTGACTTTTAAAATCTTGTTATCCCATCAAAAGTAATCATCCCATACCTGATTTGAAGCCTAATGCTAAACTTAATACAAAGTCTGGCATTTGAAATCACTTTGGAATTTGTCACAGTTTTTGGACTTTTATACAGGTCAAGGTAATTGAACAAACTCCTCAGAGAGAGTTTGTCCAATCTTCAATCAATGGATGTTAAATGTAAAGCTATGAAGATGAAGTTATTGGGTTTTTCTGTTTATATATATTTTTTTGGGGGGAGGGGTTCATCGCAAGCTGTTGCCGTGGCAATGCGCTATTTATAAAGAACAATGCTGTTGAGTTTTTGATTATAGGTATGGAAATGAAACAAAAAAAAATCATTGATTAATCAACAGATAAATCTGTTGTCAAAATAATTGCTACTTTCATCCTTGTTGAGGATTTATCAGAATTATTATCATTGCCATTTATTGCTGGGTATTTTTAATATTTTTAAAGTTTTGGTTAATGCTTGACAACTTTTTTTTTTTTGATTCACAGGATCACCCTTCAGTTCCACAGTTTGCAGCCTCACCAAGTTGGAAAGAAAGGAACAGTGATGAGCTTCCTGTAAAGCTGTCTGTAATTATGTGAGAGAAATAAAAAACAAAGTTTCAAGCAGTTGATGAGTTTTACTGAAGCTGCTGTCTCAACTTATTTTTTTCTTTATATGACTGCATTTGTTCTCTTGAGTTAAACAAACCGAGGAAAAAAAGTAAAAACTGCTGCAGTAGGTTGAACGATCTGTTCATTCATTGTGTCCACAGATAGAAACAAGGGGCATACTATTGTATCGGTTCAATGTGGACAACAGTTTTATTTGAAAAACATTTTTCATCATTCGTTTTCTGTTGGTGTTAGCCAATTGAAGGGAAAAAAAACCAACTAAATTTGGTAAACCCATTGTGGCCGCAGCGTAGCCCAGACCAGGGATCGGCAACCCAAAATGTTGAAAGAGCCATATAGGACAAAAAAAAACAAACAAATGTCTGGAGCCGCAAAAAAATAAAAGAGTTATTTAAAATTTAAAATGAAGGAAACACATGCTCGATGTATGTAGGAGACTGGACTGTCTCCGAATTGCTTGTTATTCATTGCTTTGTTGTGTGTTCACAAACGCCCCCATAGAATTTATTTTGTGATTTCCTCGCTTGATTTTTTTGTTTTGGTGAATTATTTTCGCTTTTCTTAGTGTCAGTGAAGTGATCATTAATTTCCGTTTTTCGGAGGCTGTCTTTGAAAGCCTCTCGAGTCGAACGAGAAGAGAGAAGGCACGGAGTCGGACGCAGACGTGTCTGTTTGTCGAGACTGTTAAAAGCATAAATAAAGTGTACGTTTTAAAAAAAAAAACACCACAGCTCTCCTTTTTCGGAGCTGCAACATGTATCTATATCTATTTGAGCTATATTAGCCTACTATCAAAATCTTTTTCCATTTTCAAACATGTTTTATAAAGCTCCAGAGAGCCACTAGATGTCGCTAAAGAGCCGCATGCGGGTCTGGAGCCACGTGTTGCCGACCCCGGCCCAGACCAACAGAAACTTGTGCCTGCCAGCTCTTCTGTCAGGTCGTGATAGTACAGTGGTTAGTACAGTGAAACTCCTCGAGAACGAAACCTACATGGGCGAAAATACCCCCTAATGTGAAAAAATCTTCATGCATTAACACCATTCCCATTCTACTGCCCCCCATACAACGAAAAAAAACCCTGTTGCGTTATACGAAATCATTTTCTCTGCTCCAGCCTCGCGAAGACATTCACTACAACGAAGTCTAATCCAACAGCGACCTCTACTGCTTCGTTCGGAAACGGCAACATCAACCACCACGCTGGTTTACATAGTGAACGATGTTTATTTCGGTCACAGCTGCGAGTTTCCTGAACGCAACATACTCATAGCTGCTCTGCCATTGGCTTACCGAGCATCATCCTGGCCCCCGATTGGCCAAGAGGGACCTCACTGTCTATGTGTGTAGATACGGAAGCTCGATCCGTAGAAGATAGAGTGGAATGCATCCGATTAGCTGCTCAGAGTAAATTGCTTATGGCTCGACGGACATTCAAATAAACGAACGTTTCCTCGTATTACAAGTAAAGCATTTTCCTCGAAAATGCTTTACTTGTTATCATGCTAAGAACCTTACGCTAACTGGAGCGCTAATGAGGGAGAAGCGCTCCAGTTAGCGTAAGGTTTTTAGCCTTCGAGAGCTAACTATGGCCATCGAGGACTACGAAGCGTTCCGTGGCTGATGCTGGAAGAGAGGGTAAAAATGATCAAAATGAAAGACGGCGCAAGCAAAATAAAAGACATTATCCAAGAAATTGATGTAAGTGAAAGTGAATGCTGATCGTAAATTTCGCAATTTCTTTCCCTTTTTTTCTTTCTACACTGACAATATGAAGTGTCAAATAAGTGTGTGCTCATACTTATGCCCTATTGGAATAAAAATAGAGCACACATACGTTTGTGTGTGCGTGTACACATACGTTTGTGTGTGTGGGTGTGTGTGTGTGCTTACATCTGAGATCAAATTTGCTACAGTGAAAAACCCCCTGTTGTGAAAAATTGCTTGCTGCAAACATGATTTCGTTGTAGAGGAGTTTCACTGTACCCAACGTTGTGGCCGCAACAACCCCGGTTTGAATCGGGGTCATGACATGTGCAAAGAGCAGACTGCACTTCTTCATTTGCAGTTGACTGAAAAGTTGTTTTCACGCCAGCCTAAACTGGGAGACCCAAAACATTTTGCTGATTTTTTAAAGTACATCATTTATGTTTTGCACCACAATCGCAAGAGCAATCTTCACGTCAGACATCAAGTCCTGCAGCTCTTTGGGTGAGCGTAGCCTATAAAGGACAACATTTCGGATCCGTTCACAGCTAATGGCCATATTACCCTGTGTACGGCTGATCTAGTCCAATCTCATCAGATAAGTAGGGTAGTCTCTGGTTAGTTTTTGAACGGGAGACCAGTGCCCGTGAGCTTTTGCACCTCCCTCAAAAGAAGTGGAAAAATAAACGGTCTTTTATCTTTTTTATCCTTCATTTGGTATTGTTTACACATCAGCTATAACTGCAAGACCCAAAACCTTGAGACATCCATCCATCCATCCATCCATCCATCCATCCATCCATCCATCTTCTACAGCTTATCCAGAGTCGGGTCGTGCTGGCAGCAACTTTAGCAGGGACGCTCACATGGTGGGGACATGCCCGTAACACCTTACCAGGGAAGTGTCCAGGAGGCATCCTTATCAACTGCCCGAGCCACCTTATCTGGCTTATCTCGACGTGAAGGAGAAGCAGCTCGACTTTGAGCCCCTCCCGAATGACCGAGCTTCTCACCTTATCTCTAAGGGAGAGCCCGGACACCCTGCGGGGAAAATGCATTTAAGCCGCTTGTATCCAGGATCTCATTCTTTCGGTCATGACCCATAGCTCGTGACCATAGGTGAGGGTTGGGAGGTAGACCGACGGTAAATTGAGAGCCTCGCCTTTTGGCTCGGCTCCTTCTTTACCACGACAGACCAATACAAAGTCCGCATCACAGCAGACGCTGCACCAATCCGCCTGTCAATCTCCCGCTCCCTGCTGCCCTCACTTGTGAACAGGACCCCAAGATACTTAAACTCCTCTCCTTGGAGCAAGATCTCATCCCCGACACAGAGAGAGTACGCCACCCTTTTCCGACTGAGGACCATTGTTTCGGATTTGGAGGTGCTGATTTTCATCCCAACTGCTTCACACTCGGCTGTGAAATGCTCCAGTGAGAGTTGGAGAGCCCTGCTTGAAGAGTCCAACAGTACCACATCATCTGCAAAAAGCAGAGATGCAATACTGAGGCCACCAGACTGGACCCCCTCAACGCCTCGCCTAGAAATTCTGTAAAAGGGCAGCCTTGGCGCAATCCCACTCTCACTGGAAACGATTCCGACTTACTGCTAACCAAACTCTGACATCTGTGGAATAGGAACCGAATAGCCCGTAGCAGGGGATTCAGTACCCCATACTCCCGAAGCACCCCCCACAGAACTCCCCAAGGGACACAGTCGAACACCTTCTCCAAGTCCACAAATCACATGTAGACTGGTTGGGTGAGTTCCCACGTATCCTCGAGGACCCTGCTAAGGGTGTAGAGCTGGTCCATTGTTCCACGGCCGAGACGAAAACTTACACTGCTCCTCCTGAATCTGAGGCTCGACTTCCCGACGGACCATCCTCTCCAGCACCCATGAATAGCCCTTAAGGGGGATTGTGAGGAGTGTGATCCCTCTGTAGTTGGAACATACCCTCCGGTCCCACTTTTTTAAAATGAAGAGCCATCACCCCGGTCTGCCAATCCAGGGGCACTTTGGCCGATGACCACAATGTTGCAAAGGCATGTCAACCAGGACAGCCCCACAACATCCAGAGCCTTGAGGAACGCCAGGCGGATCTTATCCACCCGTGGGGCTCTGCCAACGAGGAGCTTTTTAATCACGTCGGTGACTTCAACCCCAGAGATAGGAGAGCCCACCTCAGAATTGTCAGACTCTGCTTCCTCGAAGAAAAGCGTGTTGGTGGAGTTGAGGAGGTCTTCGAAGTATTCTGCCCACCGACTCACAATGTCTCGAGTCCAGGTCAGCAGCACCCCATCCCCACTGTACACAGTGTTAATGGTGCACTGCCTCCCCCTCCTGGACCAGAATTTCCTCATAGCCGTCCGGAAGTTGGCTTCCAGGGCCTCACCCAATTCCTCCGACGCCCGAGTTTTTGCCTCGGCGACCACTGAAGCTGCGTTCCGTTTGGCCAGTCGATACCTATCAGCTGCCACTGGAGTGCCACAGGCCATAAAAGCCCGATAGGACTCCTTAAACTTGACGGCATCCATTACGGCCGGTGTCCACCAGCAAGTTCGAGGGTTGCCGCCACAACAGGCACCGACCACCTTATGGCCACCACTCCAAGTGGCTGCCTCAACAATAGAGGTGCAGAACACGGTCCACTTGGACTCAATGTCACCCGCCTCCCCCCGGGACGTGGGAAAAGCTCTGCTGGAGGTGGGAGTTGGAACTACAAACGCTCCCCAGCTTACGAACGAGATACGTTCCGAACGATCGTTCGTAAGGTGAATTCGTTCGTAAGTTGCTTCAGTGCTATATTTTGTATAGAATGTATGTTTAAGGCTTATATAAATATGTTTACTTGCTAATGATCGTCGATTGCATCGGCACTGCACCTTTCACGTGTTCCATTATGCGATCTTTCTGTTTATAAATGGTACTGATGGTCGAACGATTCATGTTGTGTGCACGTGCAACACTCACCATTTTCTCACCCGCATCAAGCTTCTTTATTATTGCCACTTTCATTTGAAATGAAATGGCTTGCCTCTTCTTTACACTTCCACTCTCACTAGAAGCCTTTCGCTTTTCACCAACTATATTGAATAATGGATGCACGAGATATTTAACAACTGGGCAGAGGAAGCCGGAGAGAGCTGTCCCACAACTTGACCAATCAGTGTTGTGGGAACTGTAGTTGCTTTGTAGTCAACGTGTGACTGTGCGATAGTACGTACAATAAAAAAATAAATAAAAAAAAGTAAACTTCTCTCTTGAAATTATACTTATTTTTTTCTCTTTCTAAGACGTGCATTTTTTTTAAATATCTTGAATTTTTAAAAATATATATATTTATTTTTCACTCATGAAGGGTTCAGTGAACGGTGAACGTGCATATTTACTGGTGGGGTTCGGTACCTCTAAAAAGGTTAAGAACCACTGCATTAATTTATGTAGCGTTATTTAGGATCTAAATAATACTTTTTCAATGAATTTTTGCACGTCTTAGTCAACACTCTCGTCCAGCTCATGGCGGTACACTGTGCAGTCATGCCAACCATCAGGAAACACATAGGATGGGGCGGCGGAGAAAGAGGACGAGGAGGGAGGAGGTGGAGAAGAGAGAAGAAGAAGAAGTAGAAGAAGAAGAAGAAGAAGAAGAAGTAGTAGTAGAAGAAGAGGAAGAAGAAGAAGAAAAAGAAAATTCCACGAGAAAAGGTAGGAATCACCGTGCTATTTCATTTATTACAAATGGTTTTGATATCCATTATTATTATTTTTAGAAAAAAATGGATACAATTCGTCAGTATTTATTGAACAAAGTTGGTCAGGTTTCAAGTTAGTATCAACTCGCTGAAATAGAGTTTACGAAGTGCAAAAGTAGATGTACTTCTGTACTAAAAATGGTTAAAGTAAAAAAACTAATTGAAAAATCCTGACTTTTTACGGTCAATCTTGGTGATAAGTTTGCCTCTTTTACGACATATTTGATTTTGATCGTACTAAGAAGAAGAAATCAAAAGAAGATAAGAAAAAAAAGCGTAATTTGTCTCACAATGGAGAAATCCGCAATTTTCAGCAGTAAAAGTTCAAGGAAAAAAGTAGAAAAACAGTATTTCCATTCACAAAAAAGTCGCATGTTGTTTCAGAGCTAGCTGGCGTTTGATTGATTTTAATGCTCTGAAAACAACGTTTTACCATACTTTTACTAACGTTAGGAACGGATTGATAAATTGCCAGATAATTTCAATGATTGTTTTTTTTGTTTTTGTTTTGAAAGCCAGAGCTTGTTTATTCGTTCGCGATAAGCCATTCTGTTGGCAACTAGGGTTGAATACAATGGACAAAATTTAATACCTGTATCTCGGTATTCATGCCAGACATCTGTCATGTTTATTATTTAACCATAAATATCTTATTGTGTGGAGCTGAAGGGCAACGTTTACAAGTCCACTGTACATACTCTGAATAGTGGAGATGGTGTGCTGCTGACTTTGACTCGTGACGTTGTGAATCGGTGGGAAGAATATTTTGAAGACCTCAATTCCACCAACACACCTTCCATTGAGGAAGAAGAGTCTGGAGACTCTGAGGTGGCCTTTCCTATCTCTTGAATTGAAGTCACTGAGGTGGTTAAAAAGCTCCCCAGTGGCAAAGCCCCAGGTATCAATGATATCTGCCTGGAGTTACTGAAGGCTCTGGGTGTAGGTATTGGTTGACAAGCCTCTACATTGTAGAGTCTACAACATTACATGGACATCGGTGACAGTGCTTCTGGATTGCCAGACTGGGGTGGTGGTCCCCCATTTGATGAGGTCTATTCAGGGGTGTTGGAGAGGAAGGTCCTTTGGGAGGTTGAATCTCAGATTCAGGAAGAGCAGGGTGGTTTTTATATGGGCCGTGGAACAGTGGAGCAGCTCTACACCCTCAGCAATGTCCTTGAGGGTGCACGAGAGTTCGCCCAACCAGCCCGCATGTCTTTTGATGACTTGTTGAAGGTGTTCCACCATGTCCCTCGAGGAGTTCTGTGGAAGGTGCTTTGGGAGAACGAGGTACCCAATCCCCTAATAAGTGCAATTTGGTCACTATACCACAGATGGCACAGTTTAGTCAGCATTGCCGACAGTCAACGCGCTAACCACTGGACCACTGGGCCTCCTGTGTACTTATATTTTGTGCTTAAATTAATGCTGTCAAGAGATTTAAAAAAATGTGACATTAATTAATTATGATCTGTAATTAATAGATCTAATTAATCTATATTTTAATCTCATCTAAAAATTGCTCAGAAAACCCCTATTTTCGTTTTAGATTCATTACATTATCGAGCATTGAGGCAGATCAAAAGATTCACATCACAAAAAAAGTGGTATTATAAAGTATTTTATTGTTTATAAACAAATTTGAACAGATACAGTCCAAGCCATTTACTTTCTGTTGTATTTGAGACTAATCACAAATCCTACCTGCAACCTTTAGTTTCGACCATCAGGGGGAATATCACTGTTTTGTTTTTGTAAATCTCCAAATAATTACAAAATAAAAATAAAAGAGAACACCAGGTCCATAAAAAGTGCTTAGGTTAACATATCAAAAACAGTAAGAACACTTTGCTGAGCAATACAAGTACTGAACATGGAACTTGCTTCAGATAATAAATAAAACTGACCCTTAGAGCACAGTGCTGTAAGTTAGCACTTCAGAAATAAGGCGTACAAAAAAAAGTAGTGTGTTTCCGGTAACCCGACCGACCAAGAATTTTTCTACGTCGAAAAAAAACTTTACGGTCGGCATTTTTTTTTTCAAACAACCCTCTACATTCTTGTGTAGAGGCTTTACATCGGTGCAAACTCTCACGATATTCACGTTGAGCGCGTGCGTTGTTTTCCCTGTCGTCTGTCAACAACATTGAAACATGGCGGCGGCCGCGATCTCCGACGACAGTTTAAACCGCGTTTTCTGTGTTACAGTCGCGTTCTCGCACCTTGCACCGTAATCTTAAGAAAATAGCATCCATTGATGTATCGAAAAAATTCAGCGAACTATTTGATGAACACCACGGGCCGAGTAAAAACTGAGGGCGGAGGAGGACGGCGGCGGAGGCGGCGGTGCGCCCCGGCCCCCCGAGTCCAGAGCCGGGATGAAAACTAAATAGGTGGCGGCGGCGTCGGCCGCGGAGCGGCGGGTTCAATGTCTTCTTGTTTTATGTTTTATGGTTATTTTGTTAAAATTTACCTACCGACCCAATGCTGAAATTTCATGTTACCGGAAACACACTATCTTTTTTGTTTGGCCTAACACTGTTCATCATGACAAAATAAAGTGCTGAAATAAACATCAACCACTTCTAGTAGGCTACAGAGGACACAGCAGCTATGTTGACTTCATGCCTCGTACGCGGGGTGTTAGTTTGTTGTTTGTGCTAGTTTAGTTAGTTTGGCGAAGAGCTTTGCTATGTCTCCCTCTATTGCTAACGCTTTCGGTGCTAATGTTAGTCGTGGTTGCACTCACAACTGGGTGCTTTGCATTGATGTTCGAGGCTTAACTTTGAGCTGCTTCGGTGGGAAGCAAACCCCTTTCCAACAAATTGGGCACAACACTCTACCTTTATCAATGGTGCCGTCAGGGCGTTTTTGGAATGTAAATTGTCCATTCATTGTGCCAAGATCTCTCACATGCTCCTCGATTTTCACCTCTCCTCTTCTCACCGCTGCTTACTTAGTCCGCCAAACTCCAATGGGAGCCAATCAGCTTAAGCTAAACAAGCCCAAAAAAAAGACAGCCAATCAATGTCCACTTTAGGCTGTGACAGTTGTTTCCCCACCCTTAACAACTCGAACACAGGAAGCCAACATATAAAAAGGGATCTTAGAAAAAGGCAACCCACCTACAAAAACAATAAAGTTAGAGATTAAAATTTAGATTTACGTGATTAAAAAACACAACACTCTAAATATATAAATAATAATAAATTTGACACCTCTATCTTAAATGTAACTTTTTTTTTAGATGGAGCAAATGATTCTGCAAAAGAATGACGAGATGGAACTATCTCCGAATGCGATAGACATGGCCTATCAAGTGGAAACTCCGGTGACATCACACTGTGTGGATACACAAGAGAATCCAGAGGCACATGTATGTGCACATACAGTGTCGGCTGCAGCAATGCCATCCTTGGTGTGTGAGCGTAACATGGAGGGCTTTGGTAGTGAAGCGTCAGAAGATTCCGACAGGTATGAGAACACCATAATAGAACTGCACGGGGGAAATGTTTTAAATGTCAAGTTGGTTCTTTTCTGTTCTTAGTGACAGCTCCTCTACATCATCATCTTTTTCATCTCCCACTGTGTTTGAAAATGCTGCTGACGACGAGGATTTAAGCCAACCAGCTCCCTTCAAAACAAAAGATGAAATTTTACTTGAGGTTAGTCGTTTTGGTGTACTTGTTTGCCATATGTAAGTGAAGTACCATATTGGCCAAGAATATACAGTGCGTAACATAGAGCAGTGTTTCCCAACATTTGAGCCATTTTAAGTTTCTTTTTTGGACTTTGTGATGATAAGCGGATCAGATAATAGATGGATATACAGTGAAACTCCTCTACAACGAAATCATGTTTGCAGCAAGAAATTTTTCACAACAGGGGGTTTTTCACTGTAGCAAATTTGATATCAGATGTAAGCACACACACACCCACACACCCACACACACAAACGTATGTGTACACGCACACACAAACGTATGTGTACTCTATTTTTATTCCAATAGTGCATAAGTATGAGCACACACTGATCTGACACTTGATATTGTCAGTGTAGAAAGAAAAAAAAGGGAAAGAAATTGCGAAATTTACGATCAGCATTCACTTTCACTTACCTCAGTTTCTTGGATAATGTCTTTTGCTTGCTCCGTCTTTCATTTTGACCACTTTTACCCTGTCTTCCAGCATCAGAGCTCTTCTTGTCTAAGCTGCTTGACATCCAAATGTCCGTTTTGTAGCCATTTTAGCAATGCAACGTCCATCCTTGTCTGAATCTAACAATAACAAATACTTCCTGGCATGCAATGAACTTTTAAGCCAGCCACGGGACGCTTCGTAGTCCTCGATGGCCATAGTTAGCTCTCGAAGGCTAAAAACCTTACGCTAACTGGAGCGCT